CTGACTAAACCGGGAATGATCGAAAAAATGTTATCATTAAAACCTTAGCATCAGCACTAAAACCAGTAAGAAACTTCATCTGAAGGTATCCTTGTGCGACTATAAGCGGTGATAGAGCGAGAACAATGAACGCTAATCTCCAATTAGCCGAAAATGCTATTATTAAACCGGTGGCTACAGTCGCTATATTTTGCACAATTAACGCCAACGCATCACCCACCAAACTCCTAACTGTTGTAGCATCCGTGGACAGCCTCGCTCCAATCGCACCGCTGATACAAAAACATTGTTTAATGTGAACTGAAAACGCGTTTTGGCGATTGGAATGGGTTTAGGATTTTAGATTACCTTGAATTTGCTGTATCGTCGAACCAACTGATTTCTTGATGAACAACTTTATCAAACGACATCAATCTGATGCGTTTAATCAGCTTTCCACCGGCGACACCAAACAAATAGTTCTGAATCGGGATCATGACCAAATTCGCTAAACCGAGCGCGAGGTAAATCAACGCCCAAAATTGCGAATCTTTCTTTAACTTCTTCGGTTGCTCGTAGAACATATTGATTGAGCTCGAAAGCAGCAAACCAAATATAGGAAACAACGTTCCATGAACCATTGCAGCAAGTGAACCAAACAACAAAACCGGAATCTCAGGTTTGTTGAGGTGAGCAAGCCGTTTTAGTGACACTTTCTTGTGTCTTTCGGCTTGTTCCTCGTCGGGCTCATTAATGTTAACCGCTCCCGGTATAATGAAATTAGAAGCGACTGAAAAAGAATGTCGACTGCTCGATGAATTACGGCTAACTGATCTTCTCATCGCCGATGATAACCTATGACTTCCTGATCTATCAACGTCTAAGTTCATTTCAGGTATCTCGGATTCGTTAGCTTCTTTATTTGATCCTTCTTGAAGACGAACGAGCTGTGAATAAGCTCCATTTGGATCTTGGATCATCTCATCGTGAGTCCCTAGAATATGTTCACAAAGAATTAGAGCGCACGCGGTATGGTTTCGAAACAGGTTACTTTTAGCACAAGGTAACTTTTATACCTTTCTCAACAATTTTTCCCTGGTGGACCACGGCGATTGCGTCGGCGGTTCTTATTGTGGTCAACCGGTGAGCCACCACGACGGTAGTCCGATTCGACATTAGGTTCATGAGTGCGTCTTGAACAATGCGTTCGGATTCAGCATCCAACGCGCTTGTTGCTTCGTCTAGAAGCAAGATTTTAGGGTTTTTCAAAATCGCCCTCGCGATGGCTAGTCTCTGTTTCTGTCCGCCAGACATTTGCGTCCCGTGCTCTCCTACCATCGTGTCCAAGCCCTAAAAAAACAGACACACTCTCATGAATAACTAAACTCAAGCAGATTATTCTAAAATTATTGAAATTTGAATGCACCTGTGGGAGTTTGTCAATAAATTTAGCAGCGTTAGCAAGCTCAATCGCGGTTCGAATCTCCTGATCAGTCGCGTCTTCTTTCCCGTACGCAATGTTCTCCTTGATTGTGGTCGCAAACAGAACAGGTTCTTGGCTAACCAAACCGATTTTGCTTCGAATCCATCTAAGCTGAAGCTTCTTCAAATCAATGCCGTCTATCAACACTTCTCCTGATTCGGGATCATAGAACCTCTCGATTAAACTGATAACTGTAGATTTCCCGCTTCCGCTTTGACCCACTAGAGCCATTGTTGTGCCGTTTGGTACAAAAAGCGAGAATCCGGCGAAGATCTGAACATCAGGCCTAGCCGGATACTTAAAGTAAACATCTTTGAGCTCAATGTCTCCTTTAATCTCCTCAAGAACAGAACCGCTCATGTCGTAAGCATCAATCTTCGGACTCCTCTTGATCGTTTCAAACATTTTGTAAGCAGCAGCTTGTCCTGCAGCAAACGCATTCAAACTCGGCGATGTCTGCCCTAACGACCTGACAACACGAGGTACAGTAGCTTGAGGAACAAGAAAGATCGTATGCGATGATTCAAACAAAGGGATTAGGGTTTATAACTCACATTCCTCCGGTCATGACCGCGAAAATCACATTAATCACTTGTCCACCATTGTAACCATTCTCAATTATCAGCTTCGCGCCATACCAGACAGCTAAACCGTAGCTACCAAAGATCACAGCTAGCATTGTACCAAGGCCTAGACCAGAAGTCAAACCTTGTTGAACCATAGTCTTGTAAGCCATCTCGAGTTTGGTCTCGTATTTTTTCGTTGCTTGTTTCTCTCCCGTAAACGCTACTACTGTTCTAATTGCTCCTACGGTTTGTTCTACTACGTTTCCAGCTTCCGCGTAAGCGACTTGACCACGACCAGCCATTTTCGACATGATTAGAGACATTACTCCTCCCGTGAATGCGATCAGAGGAATGCAAGCGAGAAGAGCCAACGCTAAACGCCATCCTTTTATAAACGCAATCACGAATCCTCCCAAGAATGTTGCTAGTAGTTGTAGAAATTTCCCAACCTAAGCATGCATCAGTATCATCAATTTCTCAGTATCTTGTGTTGCAAGAAATCTTTATTTTGTTTTGTGATATGAACTGAAATGCTAAAAACCTTTTCTCCCATGGCGTCTTGAATCAGAATTGTATCTCCAGACATTCTTCCGATGACTTCTCCGGTGTTTGTTTCCGTATCGAAGTAGCCGATATCTTGTCTTAGTATCGTTTTTAGGTATAAACCGCGAATCGTGGCTGACTGCCGCTCTCCCGTGACCATCCAACATGAAACCTCTGTTGAAAAATTTGGAGAATAGACTGTTAACTTGGGATACAAGTTAGGGCAAATTAAAAGGGAGAATAGTAAGTAAGCTTACGTAGGAAAGCGACGACACAAGCGTATACTGCAAGGTAAAGAAAATTTACAGCAACCTGAAAAAAGTTTGTTAAATTAGTGACTAACTAATCGATTATTTTCCACACCAAACAAAAATTCCCAAAAACTAAAGTTGCTTTAATCTATGACTTTAAAGTAAAGGCCAAATAAACAGTATCTTTTGTCCATATCTTCAAAACAAAGATAACAGTAATCTCCATTATTTATCAATTATCATGCAAATTCACATGTAACATATATGTAAAAAAGTGGTGTTTACTATTGACACATCACATAGTTTTGTCTTATCAAAACTATAAAATATCTGGAAAACAAAATTAAATCGAATTTAACTCAATTAAGTAATGATTACATAAAAATCGTAACTATTGGATAATCACTAAAAACAAGAAAATGATTCACACGATCCCTAAATCAAGGACTCCAAATTAATTAAAAGATATTCATCTAACAAGAAAATCAAGAAACCCTAATTATACATACCTTCCACACTTCTCTAATCATATGATCAGGATCGGCGGTTCCAAATGCGTTGATGAGCTGACCAAAGATTAGAGTCATCAACGGCTGAGTAACGCCGTTAGCTACGGCGGCGATAGTTCCGACGGTCATCAAAATGACGTCTGTTTTGTCGGCGAACGTAAACAGTTTGTAAAACGGCACTTTCTGATTTGCACCATCG